GCCCCAGGGCAGCTGTGGCCACAGTAGTTTACTACCACCGTGCATAGAGTGAAAGGATAATCTTTGAGTGTCCAAAAAAGCGCTATACAAAACCGATGCATTATTATTTCAGGTTTCCTATTGGAATAGTAGGTTAAAGATGCTACAGAACCATTTGAAATACTTCATTGAGTATGTGCATGTGCACTTTGCTACACCATTAAAAAAAGAAGGGCAAGTGCACTATGGGATGTCTGAACACTAGGTTTGGCTCTCTGTGAACCCAGGGATAATGACTTCTCTTCTGAATATATTAGTATAGACTTCAATCATAATATCTTAATAACAAACATGCATTTCCATATTACAATTGACTGGTGACTATATGCTCTGTCTGAATGTTTGCAGTTAGAACACTACAGCCAATTCTATGAACCTTGTCATTAATCATATGTTGATTAATGAGCACTGTCCCAATTCAAATAAAGATAAAAAAATAAAAATAAAAAAAAGGTCTGACAAACTACTGTACAAACGTAACTAGGGATGCACCGATCCGATACTGGTATCGATATCGGCGCCGATACCAGAAAAAATACTGGATCGGATATCTGCGTAGAGAGAGGCGCCGTGCTGCCGATCAATTTTCTTTTTTTCTTTTTTTTTTAATTACATATCTTTTTTAATACATACCAGGTACCGCACAATGTCTTAAAATACATTGTGCATAATGTACATATATGTATAAAATGAATTAATTAAAAGTAATTTATCAGATCTCACGTACACGTCACTTCCTCGTGGCGCTCTACAACAACAACAACACAGCATGGAGCGCAGGAAAGAATCAGCGTTGTTCACGTGGCGGTAAACTAGCGAAATACAACACGACTAAGCACCACGAGAAACAGCATGGGGAGTTTTTGCATCGAAAGGAGATTACGTGAAAACAACGAGACACAGATGACACTGACGCAGCGTCACAAAAAGCTTTTCAGCAACAACCCGAAAGTGTTGGAGTTCATCAGTTTGGGCTCGCAGCCCCAAAGACCATTTGGAACCCAGGTACATGCCGTCGCCAAATACATATCTGAAATCCAGTTAAAGCTACGGTACTATTATTTATTTACATTTTCATGCAGCGTGTTTTGTTTGTTGTAAGTATTTTTTTATTCAAACACAGTTAATATAAGTACATTTATATTCAATAAATGTATAAGGTATAATACAGTGTTGGAATGTTTAATGTGAGCATTGAGCAGCTCTTTATAGTTGCATTATTGCACATTTATGTTGAATCAATTTTTATCTGGAAAATTTAGCGCTTTAGTTCATCCACTGCAATTGCAGTTACTTGAACAAAGAGTTCAATTATTAAATACATTTTAGCATGATCATTTCCGGTATCGGTCAATATTGGTATCGGCAGAAACCCATAGTTCTGGTATCGGTAGTAAAAAAGCTGGATCGGTGCATCTCGAAACGTAACATTACAGTGCCCATTTGAGCACATCTACTGTTGAGTCTTCCAGATGGAAATGCAGACCATTCCCGGGTACACTACAGAGAGCAAAAGGTTTTTCCAAAGCATTATGGTTTATTTCATATCAAAAGCACTTTGGATGTTTTGGGTTTTTTACACATTCCATTCATTGAAAAATGGACTGTACATTCTGATAGCACATTAATGGTATTGAATTGTTGAATCCAATGAGAAAAAACCCAATAAAAAGGTGTATAAGCAATAAATAATAAAAGTAGAATGGACGAAGTATTGCTACTACTTTTTTTTAGCATATCTTTCGCATGGCGCTGTAAAGATGGCGCCGTGGCAAGAGCTCTGGTGTGTGTCATTGGTGCACACTGAGGTAGTCTTGCACAGTTTTTCCAATGTGGTTTTACTGCAAATGGCAAATAAATGAATCTGAATCTGATATTGTTCTTGTTGAATTTGGCCTTTTTTCCATATTCAACCATTCGTCAATTTATATTAACTGTAATCTTGGAGAACATGAAGAGATTATTTATTATTATTATTCAGCCCGTTTTGAGCCATGAGGAATGAAAGTTAATCTTTACTATCCCATCTGCTCAACTCATAAATCAGAGCTCCGTTCTCTGGAGCTATCTCTTATTGAACCAATCCTGGTGCCTTTAAGTTTAATAGCGCTTGGAGACCACTACATCTGATTGTCCAACTATACAGAGGGCAGTAAAGTCAAGGTCCAATGAAGTCTCATGACCAACGCAAGTGGCACAATTAACACAGGAAAATCATTGTTAATACTTGACCGATATATTGGGCTAATATTAAACAGTTGGCATTGACCTCAGATAACACACAACGGTACAACTCTCGTCTCCATATTGTCAAAGAAGCAGAATGTGCTCGACTGTGTGATGACGGATGGGAAAATATAAGGTATATAGCTAATATTCAGAGCCATTCAAACTAACAAGAAACATGACATATCCATTCTACATCTTGAATAGCTTTTAATATTGCTCAAGCCAACTACAATACATATTTGTTTTAAAGAATTGTGTTATGACTTTGCCACCGTGGTGGGTTGTGTGTCACAGCAAGAAGGTTCGGCGTTCAATTCCACCTCCAGGTCTTTCTGTGAAGAGTTTGCATGTTCTCCCTCTGTCTACCTAGGTTTTCTCTGGGTGCTCCAGTTTCCCCTACCACTAAAAACCTGTAATGACAAAATGAACGGATTGTGATAGTCAGCGCCTTTGTGTTGGACGTCTCACTTCTGTCATCACTGTGTGTGAAGTGAATACTGGTTGTGAAGCCCTTTGTGTGACCTTGGTTTATGAAATGCATAATATAAATAAAGATAACTTACTTACTAAATTAGAGAAAATAATAAATTAAAAAAAACTGTAAATAAATGGATGGCAAACAAGCATGGGGCCTGTTCGCTTTACTCAACTCGAAGATCTTCATCAAACAATGGCAGTTTACATGTCCAGATGCAACAAATACTTGAGCTAGAAATGACTTCAAATGTAATTTTTTCTCTTTTAATAAGTCACACTTTCTCAATGTTTCTGGATCAAGCAGCATAATACTTCCCGTCAGATAAGCTCCAGCTCAAAGCACATTCAACAAAATAAGCAAAATTCCTTGTGACAATAAACCCCACACTGCACTTTTCCACAATCACCCAAAACGTCACAGCAGTCAGTAAATTGAGTTGACGCAGCAGCAACGGGAGATAGCAAAAACATATCTGCCGCCACGCTGACTTGCCTATTTGAAGCTGTTTATTAATACGCTTCTCCACAATCTGAGCTTACATAAGACTCTGAATCATTTGGGTCATAAAGAGTGATTAAAAATTGCACAATGTGAAGGCCTCATCTCTGTGGTATTTCCCTGCAGAGAATTACGTTGCTTACAACAAACACACCAAGGTTTTCTGAGCGACTGGTGGCAAAATTGACGAGACATCATTATTAGACTCTGGGTCAGACGACAAGGACAAAGTACAATAAGCAACATCATACTATATGTTGTTTACTGTAGTTTTTACTGGCTACTAGCACAACTTTTTTACAGATCTCTGTAAAGATAAGATAAGATGATATATTTTATTGATCTCACACAGAAGAAATGTACATGTCACATTTTGCATGGATAGAATCACTCAGATTGTGCATAAGACAGTGTGCAAACATGTTAAAGGTTAAAAATATATTCTGTGCAATAAACAAATAAAAAAACATGAATGAATAATGATGAAGTGAAGTTTTAATATCCACAAAGGATACAAAGGATATGTGTAGTCCTACTTCTATACCATGTTTTTTGATAATAACAGTTTTGATGCTCAGTCTTTTGTCACGATGTACTGTACTGTAGGTTCAATGCTTTTGGAGTTTGTATTATTTTCTCTTGTCGTCATAATATGTTTTATTGTACATGGAATTTTTCTTTGTTTCTGCTTTTCTTATTGGTCATGTGACCTTTACAGCCATTTATAGAAAATGTCTTCTCATTCATTCAAAAAAACTGTCCAAACGTACAAAACAGGCACATATATAAGTGGGCAACACTCTCGCTTTTCAGCAATAAGGTCGTGGGAATTCTGTCCGGAACAGGGCGTTACTGTGTGGAGTTTGCATGCTCTCCCTGTGTCTGTGTTTGCTACGTTACCTCTGAGTCTTATAGTTTCCCTTCCCACTAAACACATAGTAAAATCGGAGATGGGTGCTGTACTATAATAATAATCAGTCAATATTAATCTGGGTAATTCTGACAACAAAACAGAGGTTAATAATATTAATAAATAAATAATAATAATAAAAAACAAAAAAAATTGCTTTCATATAGTGCGTTTTTGGACACTCAAACACGCTAACATGTCATTATTAATTCACTCCACTCTATACAGAGTAGTGATAAACTACTGCTGTAGCCACAGTGACAGAAGCGATGCAATCAGTATGTGCTATTGGCCCCTCTGACCAACACCAATCATCTATGCACACACCAGACTCATTCTAGGCATTGTGGGTTAAGTGTATTGCCTAAGGACACAATGGCAGTTTGGTACTAACCCACTGTTCTCTCAACACAGTACTGACCAGGCCCTGCACTGCTTAGCTTCAGAGGTCTGACAGATCTGGCTTTCACATGCAGGTATGGCAGGTTGCCCATACGCTAATCTCAAAGTTCCATTGTGTAACTTTATAAACAAATTGAACGACCAGAATAGCATGTTTTTTGTTGCTCTCCATTAACCGGGGATTCCTCTTGGTTGTTTCCATTGGCTTCAATCTTCCTTAGTAGTTTGTATTACATAAAACTATATTTACTGTAAAATGTTCCAATTGTGAGAGGCTTCCGGGTAGCATCCAAGATGGCAGTTTAGCTTTTGGGCTCTCCGACGGTTTTGAATAAAATACCCCAAAAGTTTGGTACTTAGTACTAATTAATCAGTTTTGAAGAAATGCCTGGGGGTAAGTCAAGAAGGAGTAGAGCTGTGGGTACGACTCAACGTTTTGACGAAATGGTGGGGGATAACGAGGAGAACTCGCCCTCACACGAGGAGGAGGACGACGAAGATGATCCAGTTAGCCTAGCTAGCATTCTCCGGGAGCTCAAAGACTTTAGACACGAAAACAAGGAACAATTTTCTGAAATTCAAAGAAACCAACAACAGACGGACGTCAGAGTGACACAAGCCGAAGCACGAATTGATGAAGTGGAAACGGCGCTGGGAGCAACATCGACGCTCATAAAGCAACTGCTAGCGCGGCAAGACACCATGGAGGCTAAGCTCACTGACCAGGAGGCCCGCGCAAGGAGAGATAACCTCCGCATATACGGCATCCCAGAGGAAGCGGAGGGCACTAATATTATTGTCTTTCTGGAAAATATGCTTCGTGATTCTCTCGCTTTTCTGCCTGAAACTGATTTAAAGATAGAAAGGGCACATCGAGCCCTGGCCCCGAAACCTGCTGGAGGACAGACACGGCCACGCTCAATCATAGCCAAGTTTTCCAGCTACAGGGTCAAGGAAGAAGTTATAAGGATTGCCTGGCAGAAGAAACAAGTGATGTACAAGGACACGCAATTCTACGTTGACCATGATTACCCTCCGCTGATTCTAAAGAAACGCACCGAATACAACCAGGCCAAAAAAGTCCTCAAAGAGCACAATATAAAGTTCCAAACTCCCTATCCCGCAAAAATGAGAGTGTTTTATAACGAGGAGACCCGCTTGTATCAGAGCGCGGCAGAGGCGACAGTGGACATGTCTGCAAGAGGACTCCCGGTGACCGTGATCCCGTCTACCGTCGATCCCTACCAGCGCGAGTTACAGCAGCTCTCATCGTGGCAAGCGACCCCGGAGACCGAACCAGCACACCCCCTCCTTCAGGCACCGGACCGACAAGCCGGCTCATTCAAAGACTGTTTATTGAAAAGCTGCGGGAATTCAGGCGAAATCCACCTACAGATAAGTGATCGGGAGAAAGGTAGAAACTGTTGTGTACACGCCCCAACTCTTTGACTCCTTTATTTTATTAGGCATTACACAGTCGGACTACACGCTCACTATGCTAACAGACACGGCACAGCCATCTTACTGGGCCCTGCTCTTTGAAGTGAGCAGGCTTTCCCCTGTTGGGAGCTCTAAAATCTCGAGCTCCTTGAAGGTTCTATTCAGGACCTCTATCCAGTAGGCACACTCCCAGCAACAGACTATTATGGTTTCAGTATTTACTGAGATGTCAATGTTATGTTGTTGTTCTTTTTTCGTTAATTGTTCTATTGTTAAAGGGATGCACAGTATTATGAGTATTGTATTGAGAGACCATTTTGGATACCACCATGAAAAATACTATAAGACTCGCATCGTACAATGTAAACGGTGTTCTTAACTCAATTAAACGGAGTAAAATATTATCCAAGCTAAAAAAAGATAACGTTCAAATTGCTATGCTACAGAAAACACATCTGAGTCCAACTGAACATGAACAATTGAAAATAATGGGATTTTCCAAAGTATACTATTCATCCTATAAATCTGGCCATAGAAGGGGGGTAGCCACTTTAATATCTCACAATGTACCATTTGAGCTTCTTTCTGAGAATAAAGACAAAGAAGGACGCTACTCTTTAATATCAGGCAAAATAGACGGAACAGTGATAACGTTACTAAATGCTTATGTCCCCCCAGGCAGCGATTTTTCCTTTTATAGGAAACTTATTGAGTTGATGACACAGGCAAGTGGTGTGCTTATATGTGGCGGGGATTGGAACATACGACTAAACCCAAGGCTTGACGCATCGAGGCTAATCCCCCAAAATTCCATACAGAAGAAAATGAAAATATTGATGTCGCACCATGGGATCATAGATATCTGGAGAGATTTCTACCCAACAAGTAAAGATTATACACATTACTCTCATTCCCATACAGTGTATTCTAGAATCGATTACTTCTTTATCTTTAAGAGAGACCGCAATAGAATACAGAAGGTGGAGATCGGAAATATAGACATTTCAGATCACGCACCAATAATATTAACAGTGGAACTAGGTAATGAACCCAAAAAAAAAAAAGAAGTTGGCGATGAAATTGTCTGGGACACACTAAAAGCAGTAATGAGAGGCAAGATCATTTCTTTCTGTGCACATAAAAAGAAAGAGAGACAAACCAAATTGTGGAACTTAAATAAGGAGTTAAAAGAACTTGAGACAGAACATAAAAAAAAGTCTGAATCCAGATGACAATGTCAAATTAAAAATTTTAAGAAATAAAATAAATGCTACATATCTACTGGACATTCGAAAGAAGATGATGTACACAAAGCAAAAATACTACGAGTCTGGTGCCAAATTTGCCAAATTATTAGCGAGTAAACTGCAAAAGCAGCTAGCAGATAATACTATATATAAAATTAAAGACCCACTTTCTAAAACATGTGTTTACAAAACAAGTGAAATCCAACAAATCTTCTTGAATTACTACACACAGTTGTATACACAGCCAAATTTAAAAAATGCAAAACAAATTCGTTCTTTATTATCTCAACTTACTTTGCCAACTCTGTCAAAAAGTCAAAATGAATCTCTCATAACTGAGATTACAGAAGGGGAACTGCTGCAGACAGTGTCAAGACTAAAGGTTAATAAATCACCTGGGCCAGATGGCTTTCCGTCAGAATGGTATAAAACATTTAAATCTGAATTGTTACCATTCTTAACCAAAGTAATGAATGCAACATTAAAGGAGGGTAGAATGCCACCTTCATGGAAACAAGCCACCATTTCTGTTATTCCAAAAGAAGGAAAAGACCCACTCAGCTGCGGCTCCTTCAGACCTATATCAGTCCTCAACATTGACTACAAATTATTCACTTCAATAATAGCAAAGCGATTGGAAACCATATTACCCACACTTATCAATACTGATCAAACAGGCTTCATTGCAGAGAGGCAGACACACGATAATATAAGACGTACCCTACACATTGTGAATCATATTCAGGGACATAAAATTCAGGCGGCAGTGGTCAGTCTTGACGCGGAGAAAGCTTTCGACTCTGTAAGCTGGTGCTTTCTTTATAGAGTTCTGGAAAGATTTGGGTTTCATGACAATTTTATAAAAATAATAGAATCACTCTACACAAAACCAACAGCACGTATAAAAATGAATGGCCATCTGTCAAATACAATTGAACTACAACGGGGTACTAGGCAAGGATGTGGACTTTCTCCTCTCCTGTTTGCTCTCTTTATAGAGCCTCTTGCTCAAATGATCAGACAAAATGATGAAATAAAAGGAATACCTATTTCTGGGGATGTCCACAAGGTGGCGCTCTATGCAGATGACGTCTTGGTCTACCTAAGTGAGCCATGTAAATCGTTGCCTAAACTATTCCATTGCTTAAAAACATTTGGGCGCTATGCAAGACACAAACTTAATGTGAGTAAAACTCAGATAATGACCCTAAATTTTACTCCCCCAAACCTACTGCGTGAGGAAATAAAACTTAAATGGGATTTAACCACAATAAAATTCCCAAGCATATTGCAACAATAACCAATCACAATTATGAGGACCTGATTTCTAAAATAAAGACTGACATACAGAGGTGGACTGCCATTCCTTTCATGAGCCTAACCCAGAGAATTGAAACAGTGAAAATGAACCTGCTCCCAAGGTTTCTTTTTTTGTTCCAGGCATTGCCTGCTGAGATTACAAAACAAAAGTTCTCACACTGGGATAAATTAATTTCAAGATTCATTTGGCTGGGTAAAAAACCACGAGTTAGATTCAGAACATTACAACTTCCTAAAGAGAAAGGAGGAATGGCAGTACCTGACCTAAGAGACTATTTTTATTCGGCACAAATTAAACCGCTCATAAATATCTGTAACCCGAACTATCATGCTCGATGGAAGGACATTGAGACATCCCTTGTGTCTGATCCACCACTACAGGCCATACTAGGAAATAAGAATATAGTAAAAATATTAAATAATGTTAAAAACCCCTGGCTTGTTGCACAACTGAAAACATGGTCACAGGCTAAAGAGGAATATAAACTACACAATAACCTTAAAATTGTGAGATGGAGTGCTTATGATCCTGACTTTAAGCCCAATCAAATAGATCTGGGCTTCCGCACATGGGTACCCCAGGGTCTGACCACTCACTACTCCTTAACAGAAAAGGGTATAATGAAAGACTTTCAAACCCTCAAGAATAATCATAATCTGAAAAAACAAGATTTCTATAGATATTTACAGTTGCGTAACTACATGAATCAGGAAATTCTCAGTGGGTGCGACATACAAGAACCTGTGCTTCACGAAATATTAACCTCATACAAAGCAAAATCTAAAAAAGGAATAATTTCTCGGCTTTACAAAGGCTTTATGAACAAAAAGTTAGACTCAACTCAGTATGTTAAGGAAAAATGGGAGAACGAAGGTAATATATCTATAACCGATGAAGAATGGCGGGGTTACTGTGCATCATTGTGGACATGCACAAACTCTCATAAATGGAGAGAGTTTGGCTGGAAGTGTCTGATCAGATTTTTTATTACTCGAAAACAGAAGGTCCGTGGGGGCGGAGATGAGCCTCGGTGCTGGAGGCAATGCGGTGACCAGGAACCCAACCTATGGCACATATTTTGGGACTGCCCGAACATAAAACAATTTTGGAGGGATATTTACAAAGGTATAGAATCAGTATTCAACGAGAGTATTCCCTTTGAATTCTCTAGCTTGATATTGGGGAATACACGATTAAAATACAACGACAAATACCTATTTAAAATTTTAATAACCGCTGCCAAAAAAGCTGTTACCCGACACTGGCTCCTCCCTGCTCCTCCAAGTCTAGAAAACTGGACAGATTCTGTAAACGGTATATTTCAGATGGAGAAACTTACATTTTCAATCCACCTACAAATGCATTCTTTCTCGAAGATATGGTCAAAGTGGAGTTTATACATTAATAGAGTACAACAATTGGAAGTGTTGAACATGGATGATTTGTGACTGAAATGGTGATTTTGTATATTTCTTTTGTCATTATTGCTCTCTGTATCCTATTATAAAACTGCATCCCTTTCGTGTTTGTTTGTTCAAAAAAATGTTTGAGAATGGATGACACTGTGTATATATCTGTAACAACTATTTTTTGGTCTCAACATTTGAAAATAAAGATTTGGAAAAATGATTAAAAATAAATAAATAAATAAATAAAATAAATGTTCCAATTGTTTTAACTTCACATTTTCACCACCTCCAAACACTAACATACTGTTGCTCTGATTATAAAGTACAAATTAGAGGACTAAACCTACAATTGGTGCCAAGTAAATTAGCGGGTGTGTGGTTCCGAAGCATATGTGGTGTTATAGTTTAACAGGAGCTGTGGGTGTTTATTTTTCTTTCTCTTTATCACACAGCGTTTACCCTCAAGATAGCATTGAAAAGAGCTGCGCCACTGCTGAATCCAACACGAGTAATTAAATAACGCGTTCATTTGCCTCCCCTTGTGCTCACCGGGGTCACTGATCTTCCATGGGGCCTGCTGCCACAATGCAGTGGGCGAAGAGCAGGATGAGCAATGGGAAGGAGATATGGTCAAAGGTGAAGGTGGATTCAAAGTACACATTATTACAATATATGATACAAACGGTGCTCACAAACGGTGCTCACAAAGTGCCGGCCAGGAATGTACTGTAGCATTATCAATCCTGCAGAGTATCTGTAATGAGTCATTTTTACACTTCATTTAAAAATGTCTAATCAAAGTCGAAACACAGCGATGACAAATTAACTGTTTAATAGCTCAAACCCAAATCCAGCTTTAGGATTTATGTTTACGTTCATAGATAGATTTATTTATTGTTCCCCTGTAGGAGAAATATGACTGTCACCAGACTTCAAATCCTGTTTTAATTCCTGTCAAAGTAAAATCATTCATTATCACTGTCTGGAACAAGTGCAGTATCTAAAGATTTTACTGTTTTAGAATTGAAAAAA